AATTGGCGTTGTTGTCTGGAAGAATACGTTCTTCGGCTTGTCGTATGCCTGTGACCATTGCTAGATCTCCACTGCTGCGTACTTTTGATTTTATGCGTGAGGCTTTGGAGGCCATGTTTAGAACTAATAGGCCTGCGGACTATGATCACAGATGGGAAATGATAACCATGGAGCTGGATGTTCGAGTGGATTTGTATCAGGAGAAACAGGAAGATGGGATTTCATCTGCGGATACTCTTGCTTCTATTCAGCAAGAGGATTTTCCGGGATACACCTCCATCTTTACTGATGGATCGGTTTCAGGGTTGGATGCGTGTTTTTCTGGCAGTGCATTCTATGTTCCTGAATTCAACTATAGATTCGGGGTGGCTCTGCAGGAGTCATCATCTGCGTACTCGACTGAGGCGTATGCTATTTTATCAGCCATTCTGTATGCCAAGAGGAGTGGTATTCCAAGAGTCCTCATCCTTTCGGATGCGAGACAAGTACTTGGTGATATTAAGGATGTCTTTTCGCGTGAACCCTCTTCGCAACTGATATATAGAATTTTTGCTGCCTTGCACACTTCTGATCTGAATGGTCAGAGGATTTCCCTTGTTTGGATTCCATCACATAAGGGTATTATTGGGAATGATGTTGCTGATCGAACGGCTAAAGCAGCTGCCAGGACGCCTTTTTGGAAGAAATTTGGTCTTCCTCAATCTGATCTGTGCAAGTTCTTTGATAACCTTTGTCATCGAGAGGTCAAGGATTCTTGGCCTTTTTTTGGTGGGAAGCCGAAGGGATTGAGATATTTTGACAGTGTAAATTATGATTCAGAGAGGCCGTGGTTTACTGGTATGAGTTCTTCTCGCTTTGTCATTAACTTTGTTACCCGTCTCAGAACGGGTCACATTGTTTGTTCCGACCATTTCGACCGACTGGGGTGGAGAGTGGAACTAGAATGTCCATGTGGTGCAGAAAATAGGAGTTTAAAACATCTTTTCAATGAATGCCCTACTTTGTCTCCAAGTAGACCGGAGTTTTTTGGATTCCTACATCATAGATTGGGAATTAAGGATCCGGAGAGGTTTAATCCATTTGATGTTGTGATGAGACCTACGAGAGAGATGGTTGAGGCTTTTGGTCGATTTATTGGCGGAGGCACCTCCCGTATAATAATTTAATTTAAATTAACTTTGATTGTGTGCTCTAGGTTCTAAGAATTTTTTCTTTTTCTTGTTTGGTTCTTTATTTTCTAATTTTGTTTTGCTTTTGGTTTTGATTTTGTTTTTTTTTCTCTTGTGTTTTGAGTTTTGATTTATTTTTTTTTCTTCTTAAGCAATGGTATATTTCTTTTCTTGCATTTTGCCAATCTTCCCCCTGGGTGAATTGAGTAGCCTGGGCCTACATTGGCGCTCTAATGCGGTTTTGAGTATGCTTTTGCTGTTTTGTGTTTGATTTTTATTTTTTTTCCCATTGCTTTGAGTTTTATTTGGTTTTGTTTTATGATTTTGTTTATGATTTTGTTTTATGATTTTTCCCGCTAAAATTTTTGTTCAGCGGTGTGTTGAGCACCTTTATAAATTTATTGCTGAACCCTACTTGAATTTGTTTAGTTCATGGTATATGTACAAGAACTAATACTGATATATATATATATATATATATATATGCTGTTCACAAATAGAAATGGCTGTATGCTCTGCAATAGGCCACTAAAAAGGAAAGAAGAAAAAGAAGAAGGCATGGACCTACCCAATATTATAGTTGAATAATTGAATGTTTTTTAAAATTTCATTCTTATAAAGAATTTTATCAACAATTTTTAAATAATTGAATTTTTTTTGACGAATTTTAATAAAAATTTTAAGAATAATTACATTTTTCGAGGAATTTGATTAAAATTGTACTAAAAATAATTAAATCTTCTGCTATGAGCTTTATTATGTATGGAAATAATTGAATTTCTAAAATAAATTTATTATTTATAAAAATAATTGAATTCATAAAAACAATTTAGTACACGGAAAGAAAAGGTCTGGAAGAGATATCCATAAAAATATTGTTGAGCAGAATATTGTTGTGTTATCCAATTCAATGGAAGAGACAACTTTCAGAATGGAAGCACATTGATTGAATTGAAGCACCTCAATGGATGAGGGAGCCATATTATATTGTTAAATCAAATATGGATGTGACATCCATAGGCATGGTTGGGCTTACAATTCATGCTATGGATTTTCACATATGGCTACCTCATCCATATAAAGTTTGGTTGGGAGATCCATAGTTAGTTCATAATTTCGATACATGTTGCGCGCAATTCATTATCATGGCATCCATTTAAAAATGGTCGTCTCAATTTGTCCGTCGCGTCGGTTTCCTGTCACGTCTATATAATCACGTTGTGAGTTTATTGTGAAAATAGTGTTATAATTGTTTATTATTTATTATCGTTATTGTCTATTAGTGTTTATGTAAATTCATTTTCATAAAATATGTGTATAGTATATAAGGAATATTATATGCTCAAATATTGTAGTTGCGTGTATAGTGTAGTAGATAGCGTTAGTGTTTAGTATGCGTTAGGTCTTGGGTTCGTGTCTCCCCCATCGGTTAATAATTTATTTCGTTAATATGCGGTTATTCAATAAGTGGTGTGTATTAATTAACAAAAATGTGTATAAAATATCTCAAGTGACATAGAATTTAATTAATTGAGTGATTCTAATTTTTTTGTTTCCCATTTCCATTACTATGGATCACCCAACCATAGATCTTTTGCTGCTCCAACAATATACAGCCAGCCATAGAATATGGATGCAGCAACCTTAACTATGGATATCCCGTATTTTTCAATATAATATGGCTGTGATATCCATGTATCTGGATGTGTCAACTATATATATATATATATATATATATATATTTATGAAATTAATTGAATTATTGCCAAAAAATTTATAAAAAAATTGTTAATAATTGAATTTCTGTGAAATTTTAATTATTTATAAAAATAATTAAATGTTTGAAATTTGAATACAATCTTAATAAATTTTTTTTTAAATAATTGAATTATTTTGGAAAATTTATTAAAATAGTAGATATTGAAAATCATTGAAATGAGGAAAATTTTTGAAAATAATTAAATTTTGGAGAAGAATTTTGTTATTTATAAAGATAATTGCGAATTTGACGAGAATTTTTTTTTTATTTTAAACATAAGTAATTGAATATATATAGTAATGATGCTATCACTCGGTCGATAAAATATTAAGATGATGATAAAATCCTGACTCGGAGTGATCGATTTTTATCATCATCTTAATAAGTAATTGAACTTTGCAAGTAAGAATTTTATTACTTTTGAGAATAATTGAATTTCTGCAATTATTTGTAACTTCTACAAAATTAAATTTTTTAAAATGTTTTTAACTAAAATTTTTCTATAAATCTATTATATTTTTAATAAAATTCATTAAATATATATTGATCAATTTAACTAATTTCAATAAGAATGTGAATTATTAACATTTTGCAAAAATCTAAGTTTTTTAAAATTTCTAAATATAAATTCATTAAAAATTTAAATTTTCTAAAATTTCAAATTAAAACCTTTTGAAGTTGATCTATTTAAAAAAATTGTAAATGCAACTCTTTTAAAATTGAATTAATTTTGAAATATTGAAGTAAAATTTCCATTAAATAATTTCTAATAATTTTATAATAATTGTTCAAGAATTAAGTTGTTTAAAAAGAAATTATCAAGATTTTATTTAAAAAATTAGTTATTGATGTTTTCGATAATTCTACGATTAAAGAAATTTGTAAATAAATAAATTAATTAATTAATTAACACAACATTTTTCTGAATAAAATTTTTCTCTTTATTTTCTAAAAATTAAAAAATTTCCAATTTCATTTTTAATTAAAATTTTTAATTGACAAATAGAATTTATAAACATTTTTTTCCTTTATTTTTAAATAACTTTAAATTTTATTAAAGCAATTCTAATTAAGAAATAGAAATTATGCAAATTATTATTTCCTTATGAAAATTGAGAATTTTCTACAAAAACATTAAAAAACGGGAGTGTTTTTTTACCCAAAGAAAAGAATCAGGTTGTGAACAATATTGTTATTGAGAAATAAAAATTATGCATAAAATGGGTATATTTCCTATTTCTTAATCATAATTTTTTTAAAATGAACAGTGTTTTCTATTTTTTATAAATAAAAAGGGGAAAAAATGCATAATTTATATCAGTCAAACGAAATTTGTTGTAAAAGAACATATAATAAACAAAATTTATTTGTTAATTAATTTTTTTTTTAATTTTCTAATTTCAAATATTATTTTATTAGTGAAAATTACCTGCATATTTTCGATTTGTCAAACAATATTTTCTAAAGAAAGAAAACAAAAGCATACATAAAAACTAACTTCAAAGTGTGGACAGACAATGAAAGAATGAAATACGACGATTATTCTAGTTAATAATAAATGTAAACAAATGAATCATTAATAAATGATAATTATAAAAAATACTTTCCGTCAGTATATAAATGAAAGGGAAAACAATGTTTTCCAAACGAGAAGAACCTTTTTTCCATCGCCCTTAAAGGACAACTTTTTTTTATCCAATGAAGCGTTAAATAAATCCACTGAGGGATAAAAAAGACAGCCCGTCGGGGTTCGAGATGTCAACGTCCTAACGGTAGACGCGACAGGGTTATATATTTTATTCAAGCTCCATTGTTGTTTACAGCAGGGAATGGAATTAAGTGTACATTTTGAATTCAGTATTTAAAGGGGAGAATCAAAAATACAATTTGAAATCATTTATAGGGTGTCAATCAGTCAGGATAACTGCATGTGCTTCGATGATTCATAAAATGCACACATGATGTCACACAAAGATACAGTTTATGCTCCTGTTTTTACTTTTTAAATACAGCCCATTTTTTACTAAAACCTTCTGACTAACATTTATTTTATAAAACATTGATATACTTACCACATTCGATGTAGGGAATCAGCAGCAGTAAGAGAACGTATCCACACATATCACTGTACATTGTAATAATAATTCCTCTAGACTTCCTGAAAAATTCGTCGAGTAAAGCAAAAAACACTGTACACACAATAATAAATAGGAAGAACAAGTGAATCTAAATTTTTAATGCTTATCACTTTATTGGAAAATAAACATGAATTTTACACTTTCACTAAATTTTTTTTCACGTTTCGATCGGTTCACTGCCTGTAATTATTTTAACAAAGCAGGATACAAAGCAGCATCGAGTAAACTAGCTACGCCATTGTCTCTTTTCGCGAGATTTTCCTCTTTCAAAACGAAAAAGAGACACCTCCAAAAAAATCCCAGCGTCTGTATTCAATGTTGAGCGTCCTTTATATTTGGACGATATACAAAAATTAGAAGATACATTATCACACACGATTAGGACACAAATCACAAACACTGCCAGCCTCCGACACCACCATTGCTTGTCAGACTAACTTTAGCTTTTTCGTTTATTTTATCAGTTTACAGTCCTTGTCAGCCGTCAGTCAACAAATACTACTTCCTTGTGTCGCCATTGGTCCGTTAGATTTTGCAAGCAGGTTGCTCTTTCTGTCACAAGAGGCGCTCATTTATGGAACTGCAATAGAGTTCTTCTTTATCGACAGATTGTATACACAAACAAACAGTGCAAAAGGTATACACGAAAGAACAAAACATTCAGTGGACAGTGAATTTTTGACAGGTACATTTACTATTCTTTACTTTTACACCTTTTACATTTATTTAAACTTATGCTAATTTTATATTTATTAATAAATTTTAATATTCCTTTATAATTATGAATTTAAGATATAAACATTTATTTCCTTAATTACTTGAACGTAGAATATTTTATTACAATCGGATATAACCTAAAATCATTTTGTACTTTGTAATTCTAATAAAAAATTATATATTTCGCCTTTTGCTCGAAAAAAGTATTGATAAATTGTTTTGAACCCATTTTTAATTCAAATACTAAACTTTTAGTTCTTTTATAGATTTGAGGTTATTATCCTTTACGCGGTCGTTTGGTTTTTTCTTTTTCTATATTTATTCAAAATTAGTTTTGAAGTTTCTTCGAATTTGAAGAAAAATATGTTTAATTAATAATTATTAATTAATTGTTCAATATTTTTAATACTTTTCGGTTGATTCCATATAGCTATAAATTTATATACATTTGCAGTTTATAAAAATAGTGAAGTTACAAATTGTGTTATCAAACCTAAAAGTATATCAACATTATTTTCTGGGCGGTAAGTTAATTTTAAAAAAATCATTAATTTCCTTTTGTGTTATAAAATTTCTTTGATTTTTTTTTGTAATTTCATTTAATCTTTATTTAGAATACGTTATTGACTATAATTAATTAATAATTGCTAATAATAATAATTAAAATTCAACTATCTTAATAAATATCAAAATTCTTTCCAGAAATTCGATTATTTTCAAAATTTTTTTTTAAATCCTCGTCAACATTTCAATTATCTTTATAAATAGGAAAATTCTTCGTCGAAATTCAATTATATTCAGGAATTTTTATAAAATTCAATTATTTTCATAAATAACAATATTCATCACAAGAATTCAATTATTAAATTATTTTCAAAAATTTTTCTTAATTCAATAATTTGTATATCTATTATTTTAATAAAATTTTCCAATAAAATTCAATTATTAAAAAACAATTTTGACAAAGTTCTATACGAATATTCAATTATTTTCTAAAATAATGAAAATTTCACGGGAATTCAATTATTTACAAATTTTTTTATAAATTTCTTCCCAATAATTCTATTATTTTCATAAATATAATAAAAATTTTTTTAGGAATTTCAAAAATTTAATGGCATTTCTTCCAAAGAATTCAATTATTTCGATAAATATTAAAATTCTTGTCAGAAATTCAATTATTATCAGGAATTTTAATAAATTTTTTTCCGAAATACAATTATTCTCAGGAATTTTAATCAGATTCTTTGCAAAATTAAATTATTTTCAAGAATTTAAATAAAATTCTTTTAGAAATTCAATTATTTTAAGAGATTTAAATTAAATTCTTTGCAAAATTCAATTATTTTCTAAAATAATGAAAATTTCACGGGAATTCAATTTAACAAAAAAATTAATCAATTAAATAAAATTTGCAAAAATTAAAAAAAAAACAATTTTTTGAAACTTTTTTTATAGAATTCTTTGCAATAATTCAATTATTTTCATAAATAATGAAACTCATAGGAGAATTTCAACTATTTTTAATACAATTTTAATTGAATTCCTCGAAAAATGTAATTTTTCATAAAAGTTTGATTAAAATTCGTCAAATGAATTCAATTATTTAAAAATTTGTTAATAAAATTATGTATAATTGAATTTTTGATAAGTTAGGTACTAATAATTGTAATTTTTAGAAATAATTGAATTTTGTAAAGGTTTCAAATTAATATCTTAAAAAATCTGAATTTTTCATACTTTTAATTAAAAATTCTAATCATTTCATGAAAGAATTCAATTTAAAAAAATATTTTAATAATATTTTTCAAAATATTCAATTATTTTCTAAAATTTTAATAAAATTCAATAATTAAATGTTTAATTTAAATTATTAACAAACATGATTATTTTAAAAACTTGAAAGAAATTGTTCATAAAATTCAATTATTTTCTAAAATTTTTAATTAAAATTATTAAACAAACTCTAGTATTTAACAAAAAAATTCAAAGAAATTCTTGTAAAAAAGAATTTAAATTTTTTAAATTTTCCACGAGAATTTAATTATTTTTCTAAATAATAAAATTTTTCGAAGAAATTCTATTATTTTTAATTTTTTTGATAAATTTTTTTTCAATAATTCGATAATAAATTTATCACTCATCTAACCTTTAATTATCATAAAACATGGAGGAAGCGATTACTCCGAGTCGAAGACTCGGAGTGATAGCTTTCTCCATGTTTTATAATAATATTGTTATAAATTATTGAATTTCAAAAGATTTGAATTAGAAATTTTGAAAATGTTAGTTCCCACGGAAAAATAATAATGATTAAATATTTATTTAAAAATGAAGTTATTGGTGTTTTTGAATAACTTTACAATTAAGGAAATTCGCAAATAAATGTAATATAAATTTTTTTTGAGTATCTAATAATTTTTAGAGGGAATCAGAATAAAAATAACAAAGCGGTTTTTCTAAAAAATTGTCTTTTCAAGAAAAAATAATTTCCAGATAAAAATATGGAAACATCTGAGAGCAGGATGGAAGTTGACGAGGAAATGAAGGACTCAGACAATGCAGAAAATATTGACTGTTCTGTAACAGTTAACAATTCATCAATAGCACCAGTCATAATAGAAGAATTTGATGAATCTACAATCAATGAAATGGAAATGGATCTTGGTGAATTCGTTGAAGCCAAGGCTCTTAAATTGCAGGCTATTTCAAAAAAAGGAAATAAAGACGCAAGTATTGAATTACCCTCGACACTAAATGACGATACACTTGATGGCATTAATGCAGATACTATTGATGAGCAAGAAACTGAAACAACGAGAGAAGATCAAATCACACAACAATTTTTAAATGGAGAACTCACCTTTACTGAATATTCCTTGAAAATGGATAATAATAGGTTAATTTTAATTAATTGGAAATTTATTATTTAAAAGGTGAAAAAATATTTTTAAGACATCATTGATTGTTAATAGTTTTCAGATTTTTTACCAATCTAAAATGTCGCCATCTTTTTCACCTTTTTTGTTATATTTTTTAATTTTATTTATCTTAAAAATAACAAACTTTTTTTTTTTTATAATCAAAAAACTATTCTCAAAAATTATAATCAAACTCTTTAAAACGATTCAATTATTTTCAAAAAATATTCGAAATTCAATTATTTTCAATATCTAGTACCTTCATCAAATTTCGCAAACTAATTCAATAATTAAATTTTTAAAAAATTGATAAAATCCAATTATTTTCATAAATATTAAAATTTCCACAGGAATTCAATTAATTTAGAATAAAATTTTTTAAAAAATGTCCAAAAAATCAATTATTTAACAAAATTTTTATACATTCTTCACAATAATTCAATTACTTTCACTAATAATAACATTTTTCATGGAAATACAAATTTAAAAAAAAATATTGTTAAAATTCTAAGCAAGAATTCAATTATTTTCATAAATAATAAAACTTATCGAAGAATTTCAATTATTTTTAATACACTTTTAAATTAATTAATCCAAAAATTCAATTATTTTCACAAGAATTCAATGATTTAAAATAAAATTTTCATAATATTTATTATATTTCGAAAAAATTAATTATTTAATTATTCAATTATTTTGAAAAATAACAAAATTTTTCACAGAAATTCAATTCTTTTTAAGCATTTTAATAAAATTCAATTATTTTTGAAAATTTTAATAAAATTTTTTGCAACGTATTCAATTATTTTCATAAATTTAATAAAAAATTCATAGCAGGATTTCAATTATTTTTAACACAATTTTACAGGAATTGCTCAAAAAATAAAATTATTCTTAAAAATTTAATTTCGATTTCTCTAAAAAATCAATTATTTACAAAACTATTAGAATTTTTCATAGGAATTTAAATATTTTTAAATATAATTCTAATTGCATTTTTTTGAAATAGTTAAATTATTCTTTTAGATTTTAATTAAATTCTTACAAAGAATTCAATTATTTACATACATAATTCTTTGAAAGAATTCAATTATGTCGATAAATAATAAAATTATTCCCAAAAATTCAATTATTTTGAGGCATTTTAATTAAATTCCTTGCAAAATTCAATTATTTTTATAAATAACAATATTCATCACAAGAATTCAATTATTTTTAAAAGTAATCAATTTTTACTTGGAAATTCAATTATTTTTAAAATTAATCAATTTTTTCTTGTAAATTCAATTATTTTTAAAAGTAATACATTTTTTCTTGGAAATTAAATTATTTAAAAAAAATTCTAATAAAATCGTTCGCATTAAATTCTTACCAAGAATTCAATTATTTACATAAATAATTATTTAAAAGAATTCAATTATTTACATAAATAATTCTTTGAAAGAATTCAATTATGTCGATAAATAAAAAATTATTCCCGAAAATTCAATTATTTTGAGGCATTTTAATAAAATATTTTATTTTATTAAGTTAATTTAAAATTAAAAAATAAAATGTTTGTATTTTCCAGCGAATTTTAAGATTAATAAATTAAAAAAATATGAATATTTTATTAAAGTTAGTGTTTTCTGTTTACATTAAAGTACATTGTCCTTTTAGAATCGTTGGCGATGACGTTACGGATAATACAACAGGTCGAAAAAGAAAAGAACGGAGAACGAAGCAGCGGAGGAAATTACCTGCTGCCTTACTCGGTTTGATGGGCGAAGCAAATTTGCGATTTGCGAGAGGAGAGCCTGAATTAGCTGCACAAATGTGTATGGAAATAATCAGGTGAAGGAAATCGTGTATATAGTTAAACTTAAAAAAAATATGTGCAAAATTTATTTTAATTCGAATATGTTTTAATTTCCAGACAAGTTCCTTGCGCTCCTGAACCTTTTCAAACTCTGACAATGATTTATGAAAATGATCAACCGGAGAAATCATTGCAGTTTGCCTTAATAGCGGCTCATCTTAGTCCTAAAGATGCCGATCAGTGGATAAGATTAGCAAATCTCTCAATTGAAACAAATAATATGAAACAAGCAATAACATGTTACTCGAAAGCAATTCAAGCGAGTCCGAGAGACGTGAGTTTGTACGAATCTCGAGCGAAATTACAAGAACAGCAGGGCGATAAACGAGCGTTTCTGAAAAATTACACGAAATTGATACATCAATTGGGACCAGAAGATGGCGAGAGTATTATTATGTTTGCCAAGATGTTGGCAAAGCGCTACATGCAAGAGAAAAATTACGAGCACGCACTAGATGCGATGGAGCAAATATTTAATAAATGTTCAGATCTTGTGACCCTTGAGGAAGTAAACGTTGTCACTGAATTATTAATCGTAATGAAGAATTTTAACCGATGTTTAGATATTCTCACGAAATATACGCATATTTGGGTAAATTATAATGTCAATGAATTAATTGATTCAGCGATAGATGCATTTCCAGCGAAAAGAAAAATTGAAGACTGTGGTATTCCAGATGACGTTGCTGTTGATCTGAAAGTCAAATTTTTAATCACCTTAATTGAACTGGACGAAATTCAATTCGCAGATAAGCTCTTACCGAAGGTTTGTGAAAAAGAAAATCCCGAAATATCAGGCGATCTTTTTCTCGATATTGCCGAATCATTGATGGGTAAAAAGCAATTTAAACGCGCTTTAGTCCTTTTAGAGCCTTTGGTAAATAGCAAAAACTTCAGTTTAGCTGCTGTTTGGCTAAGACACGCAGAATGTTGGCTAGGATGTAATGATATTAAAAAAGCTGCAAAGTCATACGAAATGGTGAGAAAATTATCGCCGAAACATTTGGGAGCTCGACTAGAATTAACTAAACTTTACAAGCAACGAGGTCAGTACAACAAAGCAATTGACATTTTAAAACAAAATCCAGAAGTTGATGATCTAGATCCAGCAGTTTTATACGAGAGAACTGTACTCTTATTCAAAGTTGGTAAATTCAACGAATATTTCAAGTCTGGTTTGCTTTTATTTTCAAGGCACTGCATGTCCTTAAGATCAAAATCAGAAATGACAGGATTAAGTAAAGCGACGACAATTCGTCAAAGACTCGAAGCTTTACAACTTCATCGATTATCACGCGGTGAAACGATTGAGGATGAAAATTCTCCAACATTTGTTTCAAGTAACGAGCCATCTTTTAAAAATGAATTCGCTCTATTACTGCAAATGTGTAAGCTCGCTCATAAATTGAAAAAATTTGGACTTTGTCAAAGAATTTGTTTCACAGCACTGACTTCTAAACGATTTGAAAAGAAAAATTCACACATTATGTTTTTGTGTTTAGTGGCGTGCATTCATAATGGCGATTCGTATCATGGCTACAACATTGTCAGAGAACTCGTGAGAGTTCATCAAAAAGCGAATTTTTGGAATTTATTAAATATTATAATACAAAAGGCTGAAGATTCGAGGCACAACAGGTTCATAATGCGATTACTTGGCAGGGAAGATGTTCTTTCTTATCTTCATATTTTACATGCGAATAATTGCTTAGTCTCTGGCACATATAAATATGCACTTAATGATTATATTTCTTTATATAAAATCGAACCCAATGCGCTACTTGCTCTTCTGGTCGCAGTTACATTACTGCAAATGGCTTGTCAAAAATTCTTTGCCAAGAAAAATCAGCTGGTGGCACAAGGTAAATTATTTATTTTATTCTATAAGTTCAATTTTCAAACATTTATTTACTTTCTTCATTTAAATCATCATTTAAATATTCATAGAAAACAAGATAGTTTGAAAAAAGATTTTTTCTTTTTTTTAAATTTGCACTACTTCAAATCCGCTAATAGTTAAAATAAAAAAAATTATTCTCAACAGTTCTAATAAAATTATTTGAAACAATTCAATTATTTTCAAAAATTCAATTATTTAAAGAAAATTAATAAAATTCTTCGCAAAAATTGAATTGATATCATGAATAATAAAATTTTCTCAAGAATTCAATTATTTGAAATACAATTTTAATTGTAATAAATAAATAATAATAATAATAAATAAAATTGTTTATAAGAAATAAACTATTTTCATATAAATAATAAAATTCATCGCAAATTTAATTATTTTTTATATAATTTTTATTAGATTATTCGAAATAATTGAATTATTATTTTAAATTTTCGTAAAATCATTCAAAAAAATTCAATTATTAAAAATTTTTTTTTAAATCCTTCGCAAAAATTCAATTATTTTTAAAAATAATAAAAATTTTCACGCAGGAATTCAATTATTTTACAAAAATTCAATAAAATTCGTTGGAAGAATTTAATTATTTTTATAAATAATAAAATTCATCAGAGGATTTCGATAATTTATAAACAATTTTTTAATGAATTCCTCGAAAAATGTAATTATTTTCAAAACTTTTTGGAAAATCTTTGGCAATAATTCAATTATTTTCACAAATAATGAAATTCTTCAATGAAATTCAAATATTCTCAATATCTACTATTTTAATACAAATATTCAAAAGAATTCAATTATTTAAAACAAAATTAATAAAATTCTTCTCAAAAATTCAATTCATTGAATAATCAAATTTTCACGTGAATTCAATTATTTTTAATGAAATTTTGAATGAATTTCTCGAAGAATGTATAATTATTTTCAAAAGTTTTATTAAAATTCTTCGAAAGAAATCAATTATTTTCCAAAATTTTGCTAAAATTCTTTATAAGTATTGAATTTTAAGAAATAATCAATTGTTCGATGAATTATTTATTTTTGTATTTAAATAATTAAATTCTTGTAAAACTTTCTAATGAGAATTGATTTAAAAATGAATTTCATTGAATTAAATTTTTTAAAAATATATTTAAGAGATTATTAAAAACAATGGATATATACAAGAATTTTAGTTAAAAACACTAAAAATAATTGAATTTTGGAGAAGTTACACATGATTTCAGAAATTCAATTATTTTCAAAAGTAAAAAAATTCTTCGAAATTCAATTGTGTATGTTCAAAAATTGAAAAAAGAACCTCTTCAAAATTTCAATTATTTTTATAATAATAAAATTTCGATAAATATTAAAATTCTTGTCAGAAATTCAATTATTATGAAGAATTTTAATAAATTTTTTTGCGATATACAATTATTCTCAGGAATTTTAATCAGATTCTTTGCAAAATTAAATTATGTTCAAGAATTTTAATAAAATTCTTTTCGAAATTCAATTATTTTCAGAATTAACAATATTCATCACAACAATTCAATTATTTTTAAAAGTAATAAAATTCTTCGAGGAAAAAAATTATTTCCAATTTTTTTTTAAAATTGTCGTCACAATTTTTAAGAATTAAATTATTTTTATGAATAAGAAAACTCGTCGCAGAATTTCAATTATTTTTAATGCAATTTTAATTAAATTCCTCAAAAAATGGAATTAATTTAAAAAAATTTATAAAAATTCGTCGAAAGAATTCAATTATTTAAAAATTTGTTGATAAAATTATGTATAAGAATTCAATTTTAAGAAATATTCAATTATTCAATAAATTATCTATGTTTGTATCTAAATAATTAAATTCTCGTAGAATTTTCTAATAAAATTTGATCTAGATTAAGAAAATGATAGAAAGTTAGATTAAAAAAATTTAATTTTTGTATAAATTTATAGAAATTTCCTTGACTTTGAATGAAATTCTCTGAAGTTCCCTAAATTTTCCATGACTTTTCCTTCTGACCAAAAATACTGATAAATAAAATTGATTTTCCAGTTTTGGCGTTTCTGAAAAAATATTCCCAAATGAGAGGTGAAATGAGTGAACAAGAAATTAATTTCAATATAGCAAGAGCATTTCATCAACTTGGTTTATTACCTGGCGCTACTCACTATTACAAACGAGTTCTTGACTTGCCTCAATCAAGAATAGTCCTTCAAGCTCCTCATCTCTTGGATTTACAAAAAGAAGCTGCTTTCAATTTACATCTCATCTACTTAGATTCAGAAAATCCTGATTTAGCGAGAATGTACCTTGATAAACATATTGTAATTTAAAAGTCGATTGTAAAATAAAATTTTTATTTGAGTAAGATAAACTGTATTTTATTTTCAACTTATTACTTCAATAAATTATTCTAATTATTATTGGATTTGTAATAACTTGAACAGCTCAATTTTTAATAAATTAATCTTTAATTTTCGTCAATTTACTTTTTTGTTAGAATTTTATTATTTCTCTTACTTTCATATCAAATAAATTAATTTTGGTTGTAATATTTTTACTTTAATAATTGTTGCAGAAAAATGTCAACATTCACTTTCAGTACTCTTTGCGAGAGTTTTGAAAATATTTCGAAATTAAAAGAAAAAAGCAAGAAGACTGAAGAATTATCAAAAATGCTGAATAGCTACCGAAAATTTGTAAGTAAAATATAAAATTTCTAAAATTTCTGTTTTAAAATTTTACTCACACACTGAAAAAAAATTTAATTGATTCAAATAACCGATTAATTGACTATTATCAATTAAATATTTACTTGAATCAAATAATATTTATTGGAGTCAATTAAATGGTATTTGCTTCAAATACTGAAATTATTGGTTCAAATACCATTTAATTGATTCCAATAAATATTATTTGACTCAATTAAATATTTAATTGATAATAGTCAATTAATCGGTTATTTGAATCAAATAAATTTTTTTTCAGTGCATGTTGATTTATATTACAATTCATCGAATACAGAAAAATGTAATTTCTTACAGAATAATTCTTTATATTCATTATTAAGACTATTATTGCCGAAATTAGAGAGAGAACGTGGTCCCCATGGTTTACAACATAAGTCTCTAAGAGTTCTATATACTCGTATTTTTTGTTTGAGTAAAGAAAGTTTAACTTCAAGGAGCCAAGCAAATTACAGGTAAAAACTTGTTAAGAATTTCTAACAATTATATACAAAGGGAAATATTTTTGAAAATATGAAATACATAAGAAGGAAAAATAATAGTATTTTTTTCTCAAGGGCCAACGAATGTGGTGAGGATTTTGCTGATCGAGTGTACCAACTTATTCGGAGTCAACTTCAAAATAAAGAAAGTTTACTCCCCATAGAAGAAATAAATACCTTTCTTGACAATATTTCATCTAAGAATGCATCTAATGAAAAAAAGGATTCAATATTCTTAGCAATTGCTAAAAAAATGAGTGCATTTGAATTTAAATGGTTAACAAGAATTATATTAAAAGACTTAAGACTTGGTATCGGGCAGAACAAAATATTGAAAGGTTTGTAATTAACCTTAACTTTAACATCAAATTTCGCAAAAGAATTCAATTATTAAAAAAAAATTGAGAAAATTCATCCAAAATTTAATTATTAAATAATAAAATTTTCACAGAAATTCAATTAATTTATTTTAGAATATAATTTTCAAAAAAATCAATTATTTTACAAAATTTTTATACAATTCTACAAATAATAATTTTAATAAAATTTTTCGCAATAATTCAATTATTTTCATAAATAATAAAATTGTTCACAAAAATTCAATTCTTTTTAAGCATTTTAATAAAATTTTTCGATGTAATTTAATTATTTTCATAAATATAATAAAATTATTCTCGGGAATTTAATTATTTTTAATAAATAATTTTAAAGGAATTGCTAAAAAATGTAATTATTCTTAAAAATTTAATTTCAATTCCTCGAAAAAATCAATTATTAAAAATATTTTTTTTTAAATTCTTTGGAAGACTTCAATTATTTACAAAAATATTATAATTTTTCATAGGAATTCAATTATTTCCAAATATTTTAATAAAACTGTTCGAAAGAAATGAATTATTTTAAATACAATTTTAATTACATTTTTTTTAAATAATTCAAATATTATTCTTTTAGATTTTAATAAAATTCGTCGAAAAAATTCAATTATGTCGATAAATAATAAAATTAATCACGACAATTGAATTATTTTGAGGCAATTTAATAAAATTCTTTGCAAAATTTAATTATTTTCCTAAATAACAATATTTATCACAAGAATTCAATTATTTTTAAAAGTAATCAATTTTTTATTGGAAATTCAATTATTTAAAAAAATTGCAATTTGTTAATTTTTAAAAAATTCAATGTAAAATTCAATTTTTTTCATAAATAACAATATTTATCACGAAAATTCAATTATTTTCAAAATTAATAAAATTCTTTGCAGAAATTCAATTATTATCGAAAAAAAAACTAAATAAAAATTTTCGTCAACATTTCAATTATCTTTATAAATGAATAGCAAAATTCATTGCAAAATTCAATTATTTTCATAAATAATAGTATTCATCATAAGAATTCAATTATTTTTTCAATTTTTTTTTTTAATAAAATTCATGGCAAAGTTTCAATTATTTTCAAAAATTTTTCTTAATTCCATGATTTTGTATATTCTGCTATTTTAATGAAATTTTCCAAAAGAATTCAATTATTTAAGAAAATTTTTTATAATATTCTACACGAAAATTCAATTTATTTTCCAAAAAAATAAAAATTTCACAGGAATTAAATTATTTATGTTAGAATTTGCATACATTTTTCGAAAAATTCAAAAAAAAAATTAAAATTAAATTCTTTGCAGTAATATAATTATTTTCATAAATATTGAAATTTAAATTATTTATGAAAATATTAGAATTTTTCATAGGAATTCAATTATTTCTAAATATTTTAATAAAATTGTTCGAAAGAAATCAATTATTTTATATACAATTTTAATTACAGTTTTTTTAAATAATTCAATTATTTTTTTAGATTTTATTAAATTGCCTCAAAATAATTCACGACAATTGAATTATTTTGAGGCAATTTAATAAAATTCTTTGCAAAATTCAATTATTTTCATAAATAACAATATTCATCACAAGAATTCAATTATTTTTAAAAGTAATAAATTTTTTCTTTAGAAATTGAATTATTTAAAAAAATTCTAATAAAATCGTTCGCAAGAATTCAATTATTTTCATAAATAATAAAATGATTTTTATGAATTCAATTATTTTCAAAAAAAATTTAATAAAATACAACACAGACATTAAATTATTGTCAAAAATTTTAATAGAATTCTTTGTAAAATTTAATTATTTTTAAAAATTTTTCGTAATTCAATGATTTTCAATATCTACAATTTTCATAAAACTTCCAAGCAGAATTCTATTAATTAAAAAAAATTTTGTAAAAATCTTCGTAAGAATTCAATTCTTTTCATTAATAATAATAATTTCTTAGGAATTCAATTATTTAAATTAGAATTTGCATAAAATTTGTCGAAGGAAATCAATTGTTTAAAATTTTTTATAAAATTCTTTGCAAGAATTAAATTATTTTTTTAATTGCTGAAGATTGGGCAAAAGTTATTGAGAGGCACTGTAAAGATGCAATTTTATACAATTTCTATAAATTTTTATTTTACATTTCTTTACTATTATAGAAATTGCTATTAATTATAATTTTTATTTCTTTGTTAAAGCTATTCATCCGAAAGCTGAAGAATTATTTAATTTAACGTCTGATCTTCGAGAAATTTGCAACAAATTACAAAATGTTGATAAGATTGAAAAACCTGGGATAAAAATTTTCTATCACATTAAGCCAATGCTTTTGGAACGCTGTCGAATCGAGGACGTTGGAAAATTATTTCAGGATCAATCCACGAAATACATTTTACAAGTAAAATATGATGGTGAACGGTCACAAATTCACATAAAAGATGGACGCTTTAAGTATTTTACAAGAAATAGTTACGACATAACAAATAACGCATTATATGGGGAAAGCATTAATTCTGGTAAAAATATATAACTTTCTATTTTAATGATAATTTAAAATTATTTTTTATGCCTAGGTTATTGCAAAATAAAATTTTATTTTTCAACCTTTGGACATATTTTTTCTTTATTTGCTCACAGATGGATTTTTGACAAAAAATATTTGCCGACTTATTAAAAATAATTGTAAGTCGTTAATTTTGGATGGAGAGATAATGGGATGGCACAAGGCGAAAAAAGTATTTGGATCAAAAGGCATGTCATTTGATGTGAAAAAATTAACCAGTAATAGCGCTTTGCAACCATGTTTTGTTGCATATGATTTAATTATGTACAATGACGAATTACTTCTCAACCTTCCTTACAATAAGAGATTGGAGAGATTACAAAATTTATTTCAAGATGAAGAAGGCATTATGATCAAGGCGAAATCAACAGTAGTATGTGAAAGGTAATTTTTGCAAAATATTAGGTAATAAAACCGCTGCAAAGTTAAAACTTAAATTTTTATCTTCATTTTATGAATACTTTGCTTTCTCATGAAAATTATATTATTATATTCATTTTACTTAAATAACTCAATTTATTTGCTTTATTATTTATGAAAAAAATGTAAGAATTTATAAATTTAATAATATATAAAAAAATATTTAGTGCGCAGGTTGTTGATTTCTTCAACGAGTGTCTAGATAAAAAAGAAGAAGGAATTGTATTAAAAAAATATAATTCATTATATAGACCAAATTGTCGAGAAGGAGGCGAATGCTACAAAATTAAAGCAGAGGTATTTTGATTCTTGGGTGCTTTATCTAAGAGAATGCATACCTCTAGAAAGTTAATAAATTACAGGGTTGCCACAGGTCAGGGAATTCAGGGAAAAGTCAAGAAAAATAGAATTGGTCAAGGAAAAGTCAGGGACTGTTATTAAAAGTACTGTAAAAAATTAAATGTTTAGAATTTATGAGAAAATTCTGAATTTTTGTGTCTTTTTGTTCGTCTTATAAACTATAAAATTACCACGAATTATTTTCGAAAAAAAATCTAAAAAAAATGTTCGTCAACATTTCAATTATCTTTATAAATGAATAGCAAAATTCATTGCAAAATTCAATTATTTTCATAAGAAATAGTATTCAACACAAGAATTCAATTATTTTCAAAAATGTTAATAAAATTCATGACTAAATTTCAATTATTTTCAAAAATTTTTCTTAATTCAATGATTTTTAATATATATTCTATTATTTTAATAAAATTTCCAAAAAGAATTAAATTATTAAACACAAATTTTGATAATATTCTACACAAACATTCAATTATTTTCCAAAAAAATAAAAGTTTCACAGGAATTCAATTATTTATGATAGAATTTGCATAAATTTTTTAAAATTTGAAATTAAATTCTTCGCAGTAATTCAATTATTTTCATAAATTTTGAAATTTTTTTCTGGGATTTAATTATTTTCATAAATAATAAAATCATTCGGAGGAAGTCAATTATTTTCATAAATAACAATATTCATCACAGAAGTTCAATTACTTTCGAAAGTAATAAAGTACAATTTTTATTTTCAAAAATTTTAATAACATTCATTGCAGAATTTCAATTATTTTTAAAAACTTTTCTTAATTCAATATTTTGTATATATATCTATTATTATAATATAATTCAAAAAAAAATTCAATTATTTAAAATAGAATTTGCATACATTTTTTCGAAAAAAATCAATCGTTTGAAACTTTTTTAAAGAATTCTTCGCAATAATTCAATTATTTTCATAAATAATGAAACTCATTGGAGAATTTCAATTATTTTTAATACAAATTTAAGGGAGTGTTCACAAATGATGTCACGCAATTTTTCGGGATTTTAGACCCCCCCCCCCTCTCCCCAAAAACGTGACATCATTTGTGAACTCTCTCTAATCGATTTTCTCGAAAAGTGTAATTATTCTTAAAAATTTTATTAAAATTCGTCAAAAGAATTCAATTATTTAAAAATTTGTTGATAACATTTTTATGATAATTCAATTTTAAGAAACATTCAATTATTAAATAAATTATCTATGTTTGTATTTAAATAATTGAATTCTCGTAGAATTTTCTAATAAAATTTTATTTAAAAATTAATTTCTGTTAAAGTTTTCGATAATAATTACATTTTTGAGAAGTTACTAATAATTGCAATTTTTAGAAATAATTGAATTTTGTGAAGGTTTCATATTAAAATCTTTGAAAATCTAAATTTTCTATAATTTTAATTAAAAATTCTATGGAACTAATTTTTTTCAAAAAGCTTAATTGAAATTTAAAAAAATTATTTTAAGTTTTTATTTTCTAATGCATAGGATTTAATTGAAGAATTTCCGAATAATCGAAATTTCATGTAAAATTGAATTGTAAGCAAAAGGTTTTGAAAATTACCAAAGCACTTTATCAAAAATATTATTAAAAATAATCGATTTAAAGAAGAATTTTCATGTTTTATAATATTTTTCTAAGTTTTTGAATTTGAAATCTTTGAAAATCCCAATTCCTATGAAAAAGCAATAATGATTAAATATTTATTTAAAAATGAAGTTATTGGTGTTTTTAAATAATTTTACAATTAAGGAAATTCGTAAATAAATGTAATAGAACATTTTTTTGAGTATCTTATCATTTTTAGAGTGAATCAGAATATTCTTCAGGGTCAGGGAAAAGGCAAAATTTTGTCTGGAAATCAAAAACAAAATTAAATTTGTGTGGCAACTTTGAATTAGCATTTAAATAATGACAATATTATTATTAATAGTATTTTCCAAAAAAAAAAAAATAAAAAAATATGTATATGCGAGTTTGAAGTGCACAACATTTTTAGAAACGAAAAATTAAAGAAGATTTATTTTTCTAATTAATTTATCGCCAATTTTGTTGACAACAAATTTTTAATTTGATTTTAAAGTCAAAGTAATACAATTATTTATTTGTTTTCGTTCTTAAAAACGATGCGAACTTCAGTTTTATAAAAATATAAATTTTAAAAGAAAAAAATTTGAAACCAGAAAATTTATTTGTTTAGACAATTTACAAATTTATTATTATCCAAATTTTCTGTCATATCGCTTCTATAGAATTTTTTAAATATTTATATTTGTTCTTCCAGAAAATACTATTAATAATAAAATTTTAATTAATTATTCTTTTTAAAGGCCTCTGGATTCCCTTGGATGAACGTCCTTAAGTGAAAGATTATTTTTATTTGACCTGATCACGTGCAATAATAAAATGTAATTTTAAAAAAGTTTTCAGATGATTTAATACAAGACACAGATTTAATAATATTAGGAGGATATTATGGAAATGGAAGAGATGCAGGACTATTGAGAAGTTTTTTAATGGGAGTTCAATCTACTGGTAATCAGTCTAAAAAGTTTCAATCAGTTGTTTCAGTCAGTTCGGGTTTAAACAAGGAACAATTACTCGCATTACAGAAAAAATTTGAATTGAAAGGTCAGAAAAACTGTCCAGATTCTATTGTCGGCCCAAAGGTAAAAAGATCAATGAAAAATCAAATTAAATTAATGAACAATTCAATTATAAAATATGAACAAAGGGACTTTTAATTGCTCTTAAGTATTTAAAGAAGCAAAATAAATTTGTTTTTATTAAAATATTAATAATTTTATGACTGTGAAAAAAGTTATTAAGTAATACAATTTTTTTTTAAATAGTTGTCTAATTAAATTATATTTATTATATAGCGTTTTTTAATTTATTTATTATTTGCATTATGTTTCGATATTTTAGGTATTAATATTTTTCTTGTTATTGTAGAATAATCTCCCAGACATATGGATAAAGCCAGAAGAATCAGTAATTTTACAAGTGCGCGCTTCAGAAATTATTCGGTCTAATTTTTATCCAACGGGATATACTTTAAGATTTCCGCGGGTCGAATCTGTTAGACACGATAAGCCATGGCATGATGCGTGTTCCTATACAGAATTTTTGTCATATATTAAGGTAATAATTAAACATAAGTATATAGAACCCAAACATAATTTTAACAAATTACATGAAACATGGTTTATAAAAAGTTTTTGGCTCCTAAAATTCTAGCAAATTCTTAAATTTTTATGAAAATTTTTTAAAGATAAAACTTTCTTTAAGTCCATTAGAGTTTCATGACATTTTAATTGTTACACGTGAGTTTTCGGAGTCACTGATTATAATTCAAAAATCAGATTTCCTAAATTTAAAGTGGAGTAGCAAAGATGCTGGACATTTTTTTAAATACTTTTTAAATTACTTTACATTTAATAGAAGAAGGACGAAAATTCGTAAATTGTACGATATAATTTGGAGAAGTTTAGAGAAATTACAAATGATTGTAGAAATTCAATTATTTTCAAAAGTAATAAAATTCTTTGCAAAAATTCAATTATCTTGAAAAAATTTTTTAAATTCTTGTCTAAATTTCAACTATTTTTAGAAATAATAAAATTCTTCTCAAAAATTAAATTATTTTCAAAAATTTTAATCAAATTTCAATTATTTTCAAAAATTTTTGTCAATTTCAATGATTTTTAAAATCTACTATTTAAATAAAATTTTCCAAAAGAATTCAATTATTAAAAAAAATATTAGTAAAATTCTACGCATACATTTAATTATTTTCGCATAAAATAATAAAAATTTCACAGGAATTAAATTATTTACAAATTTTTTAAAAAGTTCTTCCTAATAATTCCACTATTTTCATAAAAAAAAAATTTCTTTTAGAAATTTCAAAAATTTAATGGCATATCTTCCAAAGAATTTAATTATTTCGATAAATATTAAAATTCTTGTCAGAAATTCAATTACATATTATCAGAAATTTTAATAAATTTTTTTGCGAAATACAATTATTCTCAGGAATTTTAATCAGATTCTTTGCAAAATTAAATTATTTTCAAGAATTTTAATAAAATTCTTTTCAAAATTCAATTATTTTCAGAGATTTTAATAACATTCTTTGCAAAATTCAATTATTTTCATAAATAACAATATTTCTCACAGGAATTCAATTATTTGCAGGAATTTTAATGAAATTCATTGTAAAATTCATTTATTTTCAGAAATAACAATATTCATCACAAAAATTTAGTTATTTTTAAATATAATAAAATTCATGCCAGAAATTCTATTATTTTCAGGGATTTTAATAAAAATCTTTTTGCAAAATTCAATTATTTTCAGAATTAACAATATTCATCACAACAATTCAATTATTTTTAATACAATTTTAATCTAATTTCTCGAAAAATGTAATTTTAAAAATTTTATTAAAATTCGTCAAAAGAATTCAATTATTAAAAAATTTGTTCATAAAATTCTTTATGAGAATTCAATTTTTAGAAACTTTCAATTATTCAATAAATTATTTATTTTTGTATTTAAATAATTCAATTCCAGTAGAATTTTCTAATAAAAATTGATTTAAAGATGAATTTCATTTTAAATTTGAGATTATAATTAATAATAATAAAGTACATTGTTACAGGAATCTGTTCGCAGTTTGAAGTTAGTTGTTGTTTGCTTTTATGTTTCTAAACTTTTTTATACTTTTTCTTTTCAAATACATACCTATTTTCAATTTTAAAATTAATGTATCGAAAATCATCGAATTATTGCAAAGAATTTTATCAAAAAATTTGATAATAATAGAATTTCTTAAAAGAATTTTATTATTTAGAAAAATAACTGAATCCTCGCGAAGAATTTTATTAAAATTTTAAAAACTCCTAATTAAATTCTTTCGAAAAATTTCTTTGAAACTTTTTTAAACTAATGGAGTTTCTTTAATAATTTTAATTGGAAATTTTGAAAGCAATTGCATTTTATGAAGAAGAATTTTATTAAAATTGTATTGAAATTAATTGAATTCTTGCGAAGAATTTTACTATTTTTAAAAATAATTGAATTGTTCCAAAGAATTTATTACAATTTTAGAAAATAAATTAATTTTATGTTAATATTTGAAAATTTTAATTCTTTCGAGGAATTCTATTAAAATTGTTTTGAAAAGAATTGAATTTCTGCAAAGGATTTTACTATTATTCATAAAAATAATTTAATTTTTGCAAAGAATTTTACTTTATAAAATTAATTGAAATGTTTCAAAGAATTGATTAAAATTTTAAAAAATAATTAAATTGTTATATTAAATTTTATAGAAATATTTGAAAATAATCAAATTTTTTCAAGAAATTCAATTAAAGTTGTTTCGAAAATTATTAAATTTCTTTAAAGAATTTTATTAAAATTAAGTATATTTAAAATCCAATTTTAGGAAATAAATGAAATTTATGGAAATATTTTAAAATATTTGAATTCATCCGAGAAATTCAATTTAAATTTTTTTGAAAATAATTGAATTCCTTCAAAGAATTTTACTATTTATAAAATTAATTGAATTCTTCGAAGAATTTTACTATTTATAAAAATAATTGAAATGTTTAACGAAGAATTTATTAAAATTTTAGACAAAATTGAATTTTTTCGAAATGCGTTAAAAATTAAAAAAAAAATTGAATTCTTCAGAGGAATTCAATTAAAATTGTTTTGAAAATAATAAAATTTTTGCAAAAATTTTACTATTTAAAAAAATAATTGAATTGTTCAGAAGGATTTATTAAAATTTTAGAAAATAATTGAATTCTTTCGTGAAATTTTATAAAAATTTTTTTGAAAATATGAACAGTAATAATTAATTTTGTACTTAATATGTGAATTTTTTAAATTTTGATTATGAAATTATTTAAAAAATTCACATTTGAAAATAAAAAATTTTGTAATTTGCATAAAACCAATAAGAAATTGAACACCACGTTTGCTAGTTAAATATTAAAGGCAATATAGCGTGAATTTTAAGAAATAATTGAATTTTGTAATTAATTTTTTTGGAAAAGTTTAATTGAATTTTTTTTACATTATTTAAAGTTTTTATTTTCTATTATATATTTTTAATTGAAGAATTTACAAATAATTGAAATTTCGTAAAATTGAATATTGTAAAGAAATATACGTAGGTACTATTATCCTAACAAAAACATCTTTGATGCAAAAAGTTCCGCCAAGTAAAAGATTTTGTGACTGTCCAAACAATTAGTGAAATAAAAGTTTACCAAGTAAAATTTGTTATTAAAATTTTAATAATGATTGATTTTAAATATTTTCTCTCCTACACAACTCGAAGTACATATTGCAGTTGAAAAAAACAACCCGGGCTTTGATGTTGTTATTGTACATTGCGGCTTAATTACACTTCTGAATTAAGTCAATGTTCTTCGTTGCATTTTGAATTGTAACAAATAAAATTTAACTTCATAATTAACATTCACAAAAAACGGAATCTAATTACTCGTCATAATAACAAATTTCTATTTCAGCAATTTAAAAATCTTGGCGTCAATCCTTTCATTAATTACAAGTTAGAAGCATTATTGACGCCAAGATTTTTAAATTGCTGAAATAGAAATTTGTTATTATGACGAGTAATTAGATTCCGTTTTTTGTGAATGTTAATTATGAAGTTAAATTTTATTTGTTACAATTCAAAATGCAATGAAGAACATTGACTTAATTCAGAAGTGTAATTAAGCCGCAATGTACAATAACAACATCAAAGCCCGGGTTGTTTTTTTTCAACTGCAATATGTACTTCGAGTTGTGTAGGAGAGAAAATATTTAAAATCAATCATTATTAAAATTTTAATTACAAATTTTACTTGGTAAACTTTTATTTCACTAATTGTTTGGACAGTAACAAAATCTTTTACTTGGCGGAACTTTTTGCATCAAAGATGTTTTTGTTGGGATTTTAAAACTTTTTGCGTCATCTCAACTTTTTAATAAATTAAATAATTAATTGTAAAAATATGCTGGTCTTTGATCTAATAATTTAAAATAAAATACAATTAAGTTTTAAAAAAGAATTCATTTAAGATATGATTCTTTACAGAAATTTTTACATAATTTGTAGAGTTTTTATTCTATACACTCTAAAAATAACATAAATTCTTCTTCATGCTCTGGGCCATTTAGTTAATATTTTTTATCTTGTTCAATTTTGTAGCATTTAGATTTTTTATTTTTTAATAAAATATAAAAATTATTTTGTGTAGAATCCGAATTAAATATTGCACAAGTAGAGCTAAATTTCTTATTCAATATTTTTATACTTTTATTTGTTGCATTATTTTTTTTGTTTAAAATTTGTGTTACTTTCATTATTGTCATATACTTTTGTAAATTTTATAATTAACATGTTCTTTATATTTACTATATCCTTTTTTCTAATTTTAATTTTACCAGAACAATTAGTTTAGTTTCTGCGTTTGTCTAAATGTCAAAAAATTAAATTTCTTTGAGAAAAATCAAAATTTGTCAAAAAATACGGAGTATATTAAAATTTCCTGGAATATATATCAAGATTTTAACCCAATCAATAATATTCTAGAATGTTTCACATAACCGTTTAGAAGTTTAGTCTCTGCGTTTGTCTAAATGTCAAAAAATTCAATTTTTTTATGAAAAATCAAAATTTTCAAAAAATACGAAGTGAATTAAAATTTCCTGCAATATATATCGAGATTTCAAGCCAATCAATAACATTCTAGAATATTTTACATATCCGTTTAGAAGTATCCTCTCTGCGTTTGTCTAAATGTCAAAAAATTCCATTTTTTTATGAAAAATCAAAATTTTTTAAAAAATTTCAAGTGTATTAAAATTTCCTGAAATGTATATCGAGATTTTAACGTAATTAATAATATTCTAGAATATTTCAGAAATCCATTTAGGATTTTACGCTCCACGTATGTCTAAATCTCAAAAAATCGCTATTTTTTCGGTTTTCTTAGCCTAAATTCTATAAAACTATATAAAATATTGAATAAACTTAACAGAATTCTTTCTTTTTTGATTCTTTATCCAACGAAAAAAGAATGAGCCAAATCGGTTAAGATTTACTCGAGTTATTCAATTTTATCGAAAAACAGCCGATATTTCGAGAATATATATCCCGGTTTTTGCTTTTTACTTGGCGGCGATTCTCTACCGCGAATCTTGATATTTTTTCTTTTCTAGGATACAGGTATTGTACAAAAGTTAACGAAACGACATGCAACCATTCCGAATACTGAAAATATTAAACCCAAGAAAATTCCAAAATCCGTAACATTAAAATCATTTACATCAAAAAAAATTGAGGAAAGATTTCTGGGCGTTCATTCAAGTGACGTAGTTAGAATTTCTCGTTGCCTAAAGGGAAAGGAAATCTGCGTTTTGAACGGCGATGAGGAGTTGTCAAAAAATGATATAGAAAAACTCCTAATATCTCATGCAGCTAAAATTGTGCAAAATCCAGGTCCAAAAACGTATTGTGTAATTATAGGAAATGCAGAAAAGGTATACTTTAGTTGAGAAACTATTGCAAAGTTATAACTAATTCTTGAGTGCATAAATAATTTTTGAATTGCAGGTTAAAGTAAAAAATGCAATGATGGATAAGAATCAAGATTTTGTTGGAATAAATTGGTTGAAAAGAACTACTGATATAAAGAACTGGCCCCTAAAACAAGATTTTTATCCATGGGAATTGCTGGCATCTCGATCGTCCACGACTAATAGTCTTTTAAACAATTTTGATAAATTTCAGGATAGTTATGTCGAAGATGTTGACGAATTTACTTTATCTCGAATTTTAAAACAGATAAGCGTATGTTTTTACAATATTTTTATTTTATTCTTTAAAATATTCACAATCTTCATTTTCAGAAACTTTAAAGTTGAATTTAATATATTTGTTCTATTTTTATTAAAATATTATAAAAAATTTAACTTTTTGTCTTTATATTACAGATAAATACTGAGGAATTTACGACTCAAGATTTTAAATTCGTCGAAGAAGCATTATTTTCGGGCCCATCACCATTTTCAATTTTTAGAGGTTTTGTCGGATATTTTCATAACCCTGAAGACAGACAAAAATATTCATTTAGATTCTTATCAGGAAATGTCCAAGTAAATGTTAATGAACATGTTACTCATATTTTCTTAGAAGAAAATAATCAAAGTATTATTCAACAATATCATAATGAATTCCCTGATACTATTATGATTGAAAGTAAATACATTGAAGAATGTTTCAAAAAAAGAGCATTGTTAACTTGTGATGATTATATTATTAAAGCTAATTAAATTTTATTAAGCCTTTAACAAATTTTGGTACAGAATTTGTTTTAAATACATGTAAATAAATAATTTTATAACTATATAAATTCATTTATATGTAAATATTGTAGATGTGGTTCTTTTTATTAAAAATAAACTATTAGAATGTTCAAAAAATAAAAAAGATGCAGTTTTTGTAAAAATTGAAAAAATTTCATTTTTCATTTTTATAAATAATAAAACTTATTGCAGAATTTCAATTATTTTTAATACAATTTTAATCGAATTCCTTGAAAAATGTAATTATTCATAAAAGTTTGATTACAATTCGTCAAAAGAATTCAATTGTTTAAAAATTTATTGATAAAATTTTTTATGAGAATCCAATTTTAAGAAACATGCAATTATTCAATAAATTGTTTTTTACATTCTCATCAAAAATGAGAAAGTCTTGGATTTGTGCGATTTTGAGCAATGTCTAATTTTGCTAAATCTTTACGTTTCAGGACCCCCTGATTCCAAAAAAATGGTTTTTAGAAAAGTGTCTGTCTGTCTGTCTGTCGTCTGTCTATAGAAAAATTTGTCGCCACGATAACTCGAACGGGTCACGAACTTCTAAAAAATTCTCTAGCTAGAAAATCTTCACAGTATCAAATGAAGGCTTAAGCACAATAGAATCTTTAACCGGAACCGTAATCGTGAGCGTAAGAATGTGTTAGGGAAGGATAGTTATATTGTTTATCCTTCTCTAACTCATACTTACGCTTACAGTTATGATTGCGGTTCCGATTAAAGATTCTATTCTGCTTAGGCCTTAAGAACTTATAAGACACGCGTTTATACGACTGTCGACAGACAAAAATATATACCAAAAATCGCCTTCACACCAAGCTATAAAAGTGTTTCTGCAATAGATTAAAGATGCATTTTTTGTCTGATTCAAGCTGCAGTTCCATGGCAGCATTGTAATTGATTTATTTCTCTCCTCCTGCAGTAATTGGTAATTTCTTATATGAAATTTTTTTCTATCCACAAAATTGAAATTAATATATCATTTTAGCTGCAAATCAACACATATTTGATGAGAATGTAAACCTTAAAGTCGTAGTAACTTTAAGACAAATAAATATTTTAGCGGCTCAAAAAATATATTTCGTGTCTGATACGTAGTCTCAATTGACTGAGTTTGTACCACAGCGAAATATTTTTTGGCGAGGAATCAGTATATTTTAGCTTAATTGCTTTAAAAGATATTATTAATGGAATTTTTTTTATATAATAATAAGAAACAGGAACCAGAATGCAAATAATGTACAACAATTGTAGACGACAGCGAGCGAAGCGAGCCATTTGCGCGCGAATGTGTCCGCCCGAAGGGCGAGCAGATTTTTTTCAAATACAAATTGATCTAAAAATAGATTTGAGTTAAAATTTTAGATTTTAATTTAATATTAACAGCATTAGGAATTAAAATTTTAAACAATATTAGGTAATGTAAAATCTTTTTCAAATTTATAACAATTTCTATAAAAATTCATATTACAACGCATTTATTATTCAATTACTATAATCTCAAATTTTAATTGTAATTTATTTTTAAATCAACCCCCACAGCACCGAAACTTTCCTAAAAATTTATTAAATATTTACTTGCGATATTCGGAATATTTAATTGCAATGTTTATTGAAAGTTGTGTAAAGATTTAAATGTCCCGATTAAATAAATGTTCATAGCGCGAAATCTAAATTTTTCAGATAAATGTGCCGAATATTGCAAGTAAATATTTAATAAATTTTTAGGAAAATTTCGGTGCTGTGGGGGAATTCTTATTCAAAAATTCTACGCGAATTCAATTATTTAAATACATACAAATAATTGATAGAATAACTGATTGTTTCTTAAAATTGAATACTAAAAAAGAAATTTATCAAAATTTTTGAAAATAAATTCATTTCTTTCGAAGAATATTAAGAACTTTAGAAAATAATTACATTTTTCGAAGAATTCATTTTAAATTGTATTCAAAATAATTCAAATTCTGTAAACAATTTTATTATTTACAAAAATAATTGAATTCCTCTGAAGAATTTTATTATTTATGAAAATAATTGAATTCATCCAAAAAATTGTACTATTAGTTATGAAAACAATTGAATTTCAACGTAGAATTTATTAAAACTTAAAAGAAATGAATTCTTGCAAAATTTCTTCGACGTGTTGAAAATAATTCAATCCATATACAGAATTTTATTAAAATTTATTAAAAATAATTGAATTCTTTAGAAAAATTTTATTAAAATTTGTACTAAAAATAATTCAATTTTTGCGATGAATTTTATTATTTATGAAAATAATTTAATTTAATTTTATGAACAATTTCTTTCAAGTTTTTAAAATATTCGTGTTTGTTAAAAATTGAAATTAAACATTTAATTATTGAATTTTATTAAGATTTTAGAAAGTAATTGCATTCTTTTGAAATTTTTTTTTAATAAATTAAGAAAAAAATCTAATTTTTTCGTGGAATTTTATTAAAAATAATTGAATTTTTGCAAAGAATTTTACTATTTACAAATATAACTGAATTGTTTTGAAGGATTTATTAAAATTTTAGAAAATAATTTAATTTTTTTGGAAAATATTAAAAATTAAAAAAGAATTGAATTCTTTCATGAAATTTTATTAAAATTGTATTAAAAATAATTTAATTTTTGCAAAAAAATTTACTATTTATAATTATATAAATTGATTTTTTTCGAATTTAAAAAAATTTTATAAAATAATTTAATTTTTGTGAAGAATTTTAATTCATTTTGTTTAAATAATTAAATTCTCGTGAAAAATTTTATTATTTGGCAAAATAATTACGAATTCTTGTGAAGAATTTTATTAAAATTTTTAGAATTTTTTTTTCATTTGAACTATTAGCGAATTTAAAGTAATGCAAACTTTCCTCAAAAATAAAGAAAAAAGTAGATTTTAGTGTCATAAATCTAAAAAAGTATCCAAATAGTAGCAAATTGTTAAAAAAAAGTAGTAAATAGTAGGTTTTAGTAGATGAGTGCGAAGCCTGTTATTCTCAATATCGTAATAATGTTAACATTAAATTATAGACATCTACCATTCGAGTAAACAGGGCCGGATTTGCTGTAGGGCAAAAAGGGCAAGTGCCCTGGGGCCCCCGGTCGTCAGGGGCCCCCAATTTTTAAGAGGTCTTCTTGTCACAAGAAGTGTATATGTGTAAATGCTCTATCAGGGTGTCTAACGGTCAGGGAAAAGTCATGGAAAAGTCAGGGAATGTCAGAGAATTTCATTGAAAGTCAGGGAAATTTCTAAAAAAATTTTGTGAATAAAAAATTTTTTTAACCTAACAAAACTTAGAAGATTTTTATCACCGTTTTTTTCTATCATTAGATATTAATTTATTGTTAAATATGTCAGTTACTATATTTTTTCTCAAGAAAGCAAAAATAAAATTAGTAAAAGGTCAGGGAAAAAGTCAGGGAAAAGTCAGGGAATTTTTTTCTCAATCCTTGTTAGACACCCTGTCTATAATAGTAAATCAGTTTCTATATGTAATATAAATTGCACTGGGTTACAAAAAAATGGTCATATCGTGTTTATTCAAAGTTTCCTGTGTTTATTGAAAGTTTAGGTGTCACTGAATAAGAATATACCAGTAAAACATTTTTTCATTCGGTCATTCCCTTAAAAAAACGAGTTTAAAGTGTCAAAAACCGTATTTTTAGCACTTATTGAGGCAGCGTAACAAGAAAACGCAACATGATAAAAATCTCTACAAGAGCTTAAATAAAAGCTTAAACCTTCAACTTTGAGGCTCAGAACTGAAAAGTACTTACCCAGCAAACATTGTTACATAAAAGTTATGTAACAGTTATGTCACAGAATATCACACGTGATATAACATGATATGAACATGTGACACGAAATGTCGTAACATGAGGGTCACAGTTACATAATTGTTACAAGAAGGGTGATATAACAATTATGTTGCAGCGTGATATTTAATTATTATATCACAGTTATGTAAATATGTTACATAATTAGAAGAATATGATACATAATTGCTATATCACACTTATATCACGTTGTGACTTATTATTATATCACAGTTATGTAAATATGTTACATAATTGTTATATCACACTTATATCACGTTGTGACTTATTATTATATCACAATTATGAGATTCTGTTACATAATTTGATGAGCTTGTTATATAATTGTAACATCACTAATATGACCTACGTGAAAATTATTGTTATTATTTTTATTCAATAGATAATAACAAATGCCATTTGACATGGTAATATCCAAAAATAATTTTAGTAAAAAACTGATTTACTAATTAGTACATTTTTTAAACTTGATTTTTTTAAAGATCTTTAATATTATTTATAAACATGTTCACAAGTTTATTTTATTCACATTTCACAACACTTATATACAGATTAAATAGTAATTTTATTATTTTACATAACGCTTAGAATGAAAAATATCCGCTCGCATGTGGGATCGAACTCACGTCCCCCCGCCCTTGACGACCCGACGCAACGCATTTAAACCGCACGGCCACTGAAGGCTTGATGAGAATTCTCCTAATCTACTATATCAACTGCAGTGCCGTATATTCTGTTACTTACTGTTATGTAACTATTACGTAACAAAGACAAACTTGTGGTTTTTTTTATTTGTAATATACGATTAACGTGTTAATAAAAATATCTACCACACATTAGTCAGTGTTCAGTAACAATTCTGTAACATTTACGTAACAATGTTACACACATATAAGTAACAATTTTGTAGCATTTACATAACAATGTCACACACATGTAAGTAACAAAAAGAAACGATTACAATTATACTAATCGGGATTACAAATTTTTATTTTATTCTGAAAATTCTATTTTTCTTCACATAAAATTTGAGAGTTATAAACTTTAAATTAATTTTATATAAATTTGTTCAAATTAAAATTTTTCTTTATTAATTTCTGACAACTTTTTACAAAAAAAATTAAGATATTTTTTAAATTATTAATAGACAAACTTTTCAGAGTACGTTAAAAAATTTTAAATAAAATTAAAAGTGAGTGATATTATATTAAATATCGTAAAATGTTCCAAAAGTCGGCTTCTTCACCCCACTTTACTTTTACGTACTTCTTTAAAAGTTTTGGACATTAATAATTATAATAAATAATACTGATAATAATTATTAATAATAATTTATTGTAAATTAATAAACTTAAACAGTTAAACTAGATTTATAATCAAAAATATTTATTCGAAACAATAATTATAAAATAGTGTTTCATGTTACATAACAGTTATGTAACAATTACATAATTTTATTGCGTAACAGAGAGACTACAATTTTACGTAACAATTTTGTAACGACAGTTACAGAACATTGTTACTTTTATGTTACATAACAATTACATAACAGTTACGTAATTTAGCTCTTATTACTACAGAAATGTTACGTAACAGTTACAGAACATGTTTGCTATTTAAATAATTTGTTTTTAAATATTTTAGTTGTAATAAAGACTTAAAATGTCAATTATTTATATTGACGGTTGTTACTTTTTTGTATTTTCATTTAAAAAATTGCAAACATAGCCTACAATTTTTTGCTTCTAAGTTCCCTTTCTTCAAATCGCGTCACATATAATTAATAAAAATGTAAAATATAATTTTTTAATTTTTAAATAATAAACTATAAAAATACATTATCATTATATTCACGATAGTAAAAATGAATATATATATAATATTAATTCTGTTTATAAGGTTTAATCTCTTCATTGGATAAGTTGTGAATATTGGAATAAATAAATTTATTATTTCATATAGTATTCTCTAAATATTCAAATTAAAATTTGCCTTGTTATGTTAACCTTAGGAACTAAAGCAAAAATTTCTTTTTAAAAGGAAGCAATTGCTTTGCGTGTATTGCTTTTGTTTTTAGGAAGAAATTGCCTATGTAAAAAACACATTCTGCCTATTATTTATTTAAGTGCAGTTTAAAAGAATGTATCACATTGTTGTATAATACGTATATTATGAAACTATGTTACTGTTATATCACGTCCCAGTAACAGTGTTAATATTTCATTATATAATAGTTACATAATAATATTGTCACAGTGTGATATAATAATGTGACCTACTTTATTAATTATAACAAAATTATGTATTTATTATGTCACACAGTTTCGTATCAGTTATGTAACAATTAGAGAACGATGCAATAAGACAAAAATTATTACTCTGTGATGTAATGAATATATCACACAGTTATATAATAGTTATTTGAAAAAATTATGTAACTGTTATATCACCATCCAGTAACAGTGTTATATAACAGTGTTACTATCTCATTATATAATGGTTACATAATAATATTGTCACAGTGTGATATAATAATGTAACCTACTTTATTAATTATAACAAAATTATGTATCTGTTATGTCACACAGTTTCGTAACAGTTATGTAACAATTAGAGAACAATGTAACAAGACAAAAATTATCACTCTGTGATGTAATGAATATATCACACAGTTATATAATAGTTATTTGAAAAAATTATGTAACTATTATATCACCATTCAGTAACAGTGTTATATAATATTGTTACTATCTCATTATGTAGTTGTTACATAACAATATTGTCACAGTGAGACATAACAAGGTGCTTTATTTGTTATGTAACACTTACGTAACGTGTTTGCTGGGTAAATAATCAATGAAAACCTCCTTAATTAAGCAGTCGCTACCTGAAATTGTCAAAAAAAGCTAGAACAGGAAGCAATTGGTAAAAATCGATTTCCTTAAGCGGATTCGGTTGCAACTTGTTATTTGAAGTTTTTTGAGGTTTCTAATGACGAATTGGAACTTAGATTTAAAAATTTCAAAATGGCGGACTGAAAATAATGAATTCACTCAATTTTTCAAAATTTGCGTTAATAATTTTAAAAAATTGAGTCCGCCACTTTGAAATTTTTCAAATCTAAGTTCCAATTCGTCATTAGAAACCTCAAAAACCTAAAATAACAATTTGCAACCGAATCCGGTTAGGGAAATTGATTTTTACCAAGTGCTACCTAACCCAGCTTTTTTGATAATTTCAGATAGTGACTGCAGGTTTTCAGTGCTTATTTAAGTACTTTTCAGTTCTGAGCCTTAAAGTTGAAGGTTTAAGCTTTTATTTAAGCTTTTGTAGAGATTTTTATCATGTTGCGTTTTCTTGTTACGCTGCCTCAAAAAGTGCTAAAAATACGGTTTTTTGAGACTTTAAACTCGTTTTTTAAGGGAATGACCGAATGAAAAAAAGTTTTTCTGGTATATTCTTATTCTGTGACACCTAAACTTTCAATAAACACAGTAAATTTTAAATAAACACGACATGACCATTTTTTTGTAACCCAGTGTTGTAATTGATTTGCAGTTCGACAATTTTTGAAAATTGTCCGATTTCAAACAATTACAATTCAAGCTGCATGCGAATAATGACGGTTTGCGCAGCTATCGTTGGCTATTTTATCAATTGAAAGCGAATTATTAAAAACAGTGGATACCAACAAAATAATTGAAGAGTTTCTTTCTAAAAAATCAAGAAAGTGTCGTTAATATGTGAAAAATGTTTGCACAACATTGTTGATAACCATAACAAATTATTTAATTGAATAATTTGTAATAGTCTCAAAATAAATATATCTATTTTTGTTTTTACGTTTTCAAATATATATTGTGTTAAATTTGATTGATTTTGCTCCCGGGTAAGAGGGCCCCAGGGCCCTAGTGCCCTAGGGCCTCTGACACCCTAAATCCGGCCCTGCGAGTAAATAATGATAATAAAATTTAAAATTCCGTTAAATAACAATTATAAAGATGACAATTTGGGTGCAATCATGCGCCCTTATTATTTATGAATCAAAACAATCAGACCATTTAATCAGACGACTTTTCTCTGCCAATCAAATTTCACTACGTGTTTGTCGTGTACATTAATGCTTATTCATTTATTTCTATTTTTAAGCCAAAAATAATATTTTTGGAAATTACCTACTTTTTGAATCATTTAAAAATATTAAATTTAATCAATATTAGAATTAGCCTCAATGGGTAATATTATTATGGAAAAAACTGAATCGGAGTAGATACCATTGTTACCATCAGATGCCAACTAACCTTCTCATTATTCGTTCCTGTCAAAGCATGAGCCTGAGCTAGGCCAAGCTCTCAGCTGAGTGTACAACACAATAGTTGCAAATAGTTTCATGTCAGCTTGGTGTGGTTAGCCTACTTCTAAAGATTTGGCGAACAAAATTTATTCCACACATGTTTCAAGGCTACAAAGATTAAAGTCAATTCAATTGACTGTATAACACCCATTTTGACGTTGAGTGATGAAGTTATTGGTGAAGTTAAAATTTTTATTTAGTTTGTGTTATTCAGGAGAACATTGCCTTGTCATTAGAGAAGAATAACCGGTTATTGAAATATTTTCGAGATTGATGAAAGATCCAGAAAGTACCAATTTATATTTTATCATGATTCTTTTGAAGAATAAGCTCCACTTTTGACAGTTGTTTTTATAGAAACATTGAGGTAAGTAATTTTCTGTCCCTATCATTTATAAAGCTAATTATATATATATGTGTGTATATATATATATGCACATACATTGTTTCAATCTATTGTTTTATTTTTCATTAATAAAACAATTTTTAGTGTGGTAATATTTAAAATTAAGAATTGGTAATGAGAACTAATTAAAAGTTTTTTATTTACAATTATTGTTGGTAAAAGCTTGTTTATATTTACATATTCACTTTGACTTGATATCCATCTGGTGGTGGACTTGATAATTGTTTTTTATTTTCAATTAGTTTTATTTTATTTATTAGTACATAATACATTTAATACAATGTCAATTAAAATAATTTATGAATATAAATTTTGCGAATTATTGATTAAATTTCAAATCAAGTATTATCTGTATTTTAATTTTAATTAACGTATGTATTTTATTTATTTTTATTTCAAAAGTCCAACTATATTTAAAAATTATTTTGATTCTTTTCAAAAGTTACAAAAAATTGCAATAAGTCGAAGCTTGATAATTTAGCAATTGTCGTAATCATTCTACTCGCGATAACGTAGTAATGTAATTTAGACAATCATTGCTCTTCTGTATATAATCATTTTTTAGTGCAGATAACGGACTGTTGAAGAATTTATTAACTTTTTTCGAATTGTTATCACTGCACACTTACTATGATTTAATAATTTTTTTCTATTTCTGACAATAATTTATTTTAAATAACTTAATTCTATTAAAGAACTGTCATAAAGTTATTACTTATAAATCATTTAATGAAGTATTTTTTTTAAATTTTATTTTCAATTCTGTTGAAAGTATGTAGTTCCAATTTTTTAAAAATTTTAACGCAATTCTTTGAAAGAATTTAACTATCTTAAAAAATAATAAAATTCTTTTCAGAAATTCAATTATATTCAAAAATTAAAAACAAAATTCTCGTCAACATTTCAATTATCTTTATAAATAGGAAAATTCTTCGTCGAAATTCAATTATTTTCATAAATAACAATATTCATGACAAGAATTCAATTATTTTCAAACGTAATAAAATTCATTGCAGAATTGCAATTATTTTCAAAAATTTTAATATTATTTATGGCAAAGTTTTAATTATTTTCAAAAATTTTTCTTAATTCAATGATTTTCAATATTCTACTATTTTAGTAAAATTTTCCAAAAGAATTCAATTATTAAACAAAATTTTTTATAATATTCAATTATTAAAAAAAAAAAATTCCACAAGAATTCAATTATTTTCAAAAGTAATAAAATTCAATTATTTTCAAAAATTTTAATAAAATTCAATTATTTTCAAAAATTTTAATAAAATTCATTGCAGAATTTCAATTATTTTCAAAAAATTTTCTTATTGGGTCAGAATTCGTGAAATTTTCACAGAAAATAAAAAGTATTTTTTTTAAATCGAAGTGTTGAAAAAACATTTCTATTTGGCCTTAAGAATGTGTCCACCAAAAAACAGGAAAAAAAATTATTTTTTATAAAAGTTATTGCAAAATTAATTTTTTAGCAACTTTTTAAACAAAATTTTATTTCTCCTAAATGAATGAACCGATTTAAATGAACCAAGGGTGAATATCAAGGGGATAAAATATACTTTCGTTTAGAATTAGAAAATTTTTAAAAAGTTTATTTTTTAATAATTATTTAATAAATTTTTTATGAACAATTAATTTTTTTTAATGTTCTGCGCCTTTTAAAAATTTGAAAAAAATATTAACATACACTTAAAACTATAAGAAATCAAAATCCGTTGAGAAAATTTTGGAGCGACAATTATTTTAAAAATTATAAACAAATTATATTGAACGGAGATGCGATTTTGATGATTCTCAGAATTAAAACATTATTTTTAACTACGAAATGAACAAAACACTGTCAAATTAACATTTTTATTCAATTATGTAACCATAAAAATTGATAAAAATGATCAAAAACTAAGTTCAGCGTTGATGCACAACACCGCGCCAATATAATTTGTTTATAACTTTTAAAATAATTGTCGCTCCAAAATTTTCTCAACGGATTTTGATTTCTTATAGTTTTAAGTGTATGTTAATATTTTTTTCAAATTTTTAAAAGGCACAGAACATTAAAAAAAATTAATTGTTTATAAAAAATTTATTAAATAATTATTAAAAAATAAACTTTTTAGAAATTTTCTAATTCTAAACGAAAGTATATTTTATCCCCTTGATATTCCCGCTTGGTTCATTTAAATCGGTTCATTCATTTAGGAGAAATAAAATTTTGTTTAAAAAGTTGCTAAAAAATTAATTTTGCAATAACTTTTATAAAAAATAATTTTTTTTTCTGTTTTTTGGTGGACACATTCTTAAGGCCAAATAGAAATGTTTTTTCAACACTTCGATTTAAAAAAAATACTTTTTATTTTCTGTGAAAATTTCACGAATTCTGACCCTATTTCAATAATTTGTATATTTATTATTTTAATAAAATTTCCCAAAAGTATTCAATTATTTAAAAATAATTTTAACAAAGTTCTACACGAATATTAAATTATTTTCTAAAATAATGAAAATTTCATAGGAATTCAATTATTAATAAAAATAAATTTTGCATGAATTTACAAAAATAACTAATTGTTTGAAACATTTTTAAATAAAATATTCTTCGCGATATAGTTTAATTATTTTCATAAATAATAAAACACATTGCACAATTTCAATTGTTTTTAATACAATAAATTTTAATCGAATTCCTCGAAAAATGTAATTATTCTTAAAAATTTGATTAAAATTCGTCAAAAGAATTCAATAAATTATCTATGTTTGTATTTAAATAATTGAATTCTCGTAGAATTTTCTAATAAAAATTGATTTAAAAATTAATTTCATAGTTAAACTTTTAGATAAATAATTGAATTTTTTATAAGTTACTAATAATTGCAATTTTTAGAAATAATTGAATTTTGTAAAGGTTTCAAATTAAAATCTTTAAAAATCTGAATTTTTTATACTTCCCGTGTGGAAAATGAAAATTGGTCCTTGCCAGGTCCTACCTATTTTGCCCTGTTAATAGCTTGGTCCTAGGTTGGCAGTGTAGGTTGGACCAACAATGGCTGGTGATGCGATTCTAGCCTGGTCCTAACTTGGGAGCCTAGTTAGGACCAGTTTATTTATATATTTTATTATAATTTTAATTAGTTTATAATATTTGCTAAAGAAATAACCTAAATTATTAATAATAAGTATTAGTTTTAATTAATTATTATTTTTTTCAATTAAATGATTACCAAAAGCGAATTCATAAATAATGTTAGTATATGTAGAGATTAATATATATTCCTCTAATATATACATTAAAAATTATAAAAAAATTAGAAATTTGTTAATTAAATTATTTTACAGTATATATAATCATTAAATTGCATACTTATACGAATACAATGCAGAAAAATCGGAATAAACGTAAACCTAAGAAGTAAATAAAATCTAACGCACGCGGGAATCGAACCTACGACCTACGGACTACGAGACTAACGCCCTAACCACTATGCTAATGAAACTAGTTGAGATCAAAATTTTTATTGTCAGTGACTTGGGGACTTGCTTTTGATGATTCAATATAGTAATTATTGACACTAATACACGATAATAAATAAAAAAAAAATAGTTTAACAACAACAATAATAATAAAATAATATCCAAATATAAAAATTCAAAAATTAATATTTTTATATTATATCAAGAAAAAAAATTTCTATACATTTTCGTTAAAAACATGTTTTTCATTGTTCTCAATCATTTTTAACATTAATTTCTTGGTCTAAAAAAAATATTCGTCTTTTGGACTTGGAAATTTTTCCTAATTAATTAAGCGGGTGATCCACTTTTTAAAAAAATGTCAAAAAAATGTATGTTAAAAACACGTTTTTCATTATTCTAAATCATTTTAAGCATTAATTTTTTGTTGCAAAAAATTTTTTAGACTTGGACTTAGAAATTTTTGCTAATGAAACTAGGAAGCCCAGGTAGGTCCTGGGTTGGACCTGGGTGGGTCAGCCCACATTCGAATTGCAATATCTCTTAGTGTTTAGCACCAACTTAAACGAAACTTAAAATCAGCGAACGAAATTAGAAATATAATAATCTCTACATATACTAACATTATTTATGAATTAGCTTTTGGTAATCATTTAATTGAAAAAAATAATAATTAATTAAAACTAATACTTATTATTAATAATTTAGGTTATTTCTTTAGCAAATATTATAAACTAATTAAAATTATAATAAAATATATAAATAAACTGGTCCTAACTAGGCTCCCAAGTTAGGACCAGGCTAGAATCGCATTACCAGCCATTGTTGGTCCAACCTACACTGCCAACCTAGGACCAAGCTATTAACAGGGCAAAATAGGTAGGACCTGGCTAGGACCAATTTTCATTTTCCACACGGGAAGTATAAAAAATTTCAATAGAATTCAATTATTTTCGAAAATTTTAATAAATTCTTCGAAACAATTTAATTATATATATAAATAGTAAAATTCTTTGCAAGAATTCAATTATTTTAAAAAAACAATTTTAATAAAATTTCATAAAAGAATTCAATTTTTTAATATTTTTCGAAAAAATTCAATTATTTTCTAAAATTTTGATAAATCCTTTGAAACAATTCAATTATATTTATAAATAGTAAAATTCTTTGCAAAAATTGAATTATTTAAAAAAAAAATTTCACGAAAGAATTAAATTTTGTTCTTAATTCGTTATAAAATTTTTCAAAAAAATCCAATTATTTTCTAAAATTTTAATAAAATTCTATAATTAAATGTTTCATTTTAATTATTAACAAACACGATTATTTAAAAAACTTGAAAGAAATTGTTCATAAAATTCAATTATTTTCTAAAATTTTTAATTAAAATTATTAAACAAACTTCATTATTTAAAAAAAATTCAAAGAAATTCTTGTAAAAAAGAATTTAATTATTTTTCTAAATAATAAAATTTTTCGAAGGAATTCTATTATTTTTAATTTTTTTGATAAATTTTTTTTTTAATAATTCGATAATAATTCTATCACTCAGTAACCTTTAATTATTATAAAACATGGAGAAAGCGATTACTCCGAGTCGAAGACTCGGAATGATCGATATCTTCATTTTTTATAATATTATTGTTATAAATTATTGAATTTTAAAAGGTTTGAATTAGAAATTTTGAATATCTTAATTCCCACGGAAACATAATAATGATTAAATATTTATTTAAAAATGATGTTATAGGTGTTTTTGAATAATTTTGCAATTAAGGAAATTCGTGTAAATAAATGTAATAGGACAATTTTTTGAGTATCTAATCATTTTCAGAGGGAATCAGAATATTCTTTAGGCTCAGGGAAAAAGTCGAAATTTTGTCTGAATATCAGGGAAAAACGAAATTTAATTTTTGTAGCAACCGTGATAATGAAAAAAAAATGTTCTTTTCATTATCAATAATTTTATATAAAATGACATCAGATTCTGAATCTATAGTCTAATTTGCATTTTTTTTATTTACAGATATTGGAAAGTGTCATCAAAATTTCTTCAGTAATTGAATTAATTATTTAATGAGAGGAAAAATAAGTTTCAAACAAAAATATCAAAATTTAAACTCCCAAGAAGCAATGCAACAAGAGATAAATATATTAAGAAAAAGAAATATGATGCAACGTAAATAGTGCCAAATGTGTAGCTGAAAAAAGCTACTTATTCAATAATGTAAATTCATGACTCATTCGAATGAAGAATAAATTAAAAAAATTTTTGCTAAATCAGCAGTAAATGAAACAAATATATTTTTGTCATATAAGACTTTATTAGGAAAGAAGATTTAACATAATTTTTGTAAATTCTAATGACTTGAGAAGAAAATATTCGAGAAGGAAATAAAACTTGCACAATATAAAGAGGACATAATTTAAAAAAAAAAAAGTTTTCCAAAATGTTTCTCTTGACTTCTGTATTTCATCGTGTGACATTCTCAGTGGTGGCACTTTTACTGCTTTATTTTATATTCATGGATATGATGTTATATTCCAGAGTACATAAATACTCGATAAAACCAAACGATAATAAACCTGAATACGAAGGAATAATTCCATGTTCCTTTGATCCTTTATGCGTGGTAACTGTGAAAGGCCTAATGTTAGATCATCCAAATTATTATCTACTGGGCCCGTTAGCTGCAATTGTAAATCAAGCTTTTGGAATCAGTGACTGCAAATGGATTTCACCTAATTTAATTAGCGGATTCCACGTGCTGGTTGCTATAGCAGCGGGAAAATGTGCCTCGAGTGATTCACTCTCCCAGAGGCGACTTGCCGTATTGCTTTTCGAAATTAGAACGTGGTTAGATGACTTAGATGGGCATGTAGCTAGGAAAAGGAAACACATTAATGGAGAACATTCGGATGTTGGTTCCGTTGGATATTTCGTCGATGGAATTTGTGATGCACTCGGCTGTATAGCATTGATGATTGGAATATTCTGCTATTTTCAAAAGAATCCACCTGGACGAGGTTATGAGAAGCTGAACAATGTGATACCACTTGTGGAGAGTCGTGACGTTGATCCAGAGACTATTTATAAGAGACGACGCTCGAGAAATGTTATTGGAACGGTAATACTTTTTGTTGGCTATTTACTGGTCAGTAGCGTCGGTTGGAATCGATATATTTCACTCTATCAAGATTTATTGGAAACCGACGCAAGCTCGTCTTCCATTACTAAAGATGAATTGCTTATTAGACAAGCTAAAGTTATGCAATCGAGTTCATTTTGGGCGATGTCTACTGCCTGGAAACTTGTCAATTTTCATATTGCCGTTGACTGTATGCTCTTAGCCATGTTTTTAGATAGACTTTGGGAATACATGAGAACTTTACGATGGCTTGGATATATTGTTGTTCTCGTTGTGGTTTATTTCACGGAATTTCATTTTCTCGAATCTTATGCATTCGTTCATGGTTCCGCACCTACATTTGAAATCATGTCAACCGACACTATGCCTACATGGAACGCGACGAATGTTCAACGATAGTAATTTAGAGAAAAATTTCGTTATTATATTTCGCAGAATTTCTTAAGAAATGGATCGCATTAAACTTTCCACCTATAGGTACTATAGGTAACACATTTTTTTTTTACTTCTATTCCAGGCTTCGCACTCATCTACTAAAAACTATTATTTACTGTGGCATTTCAGGAGAAATTTACTACTTTTCGGAGCACCCTCACCGATTTCTTTCAAACTTGGTAGTATTACATTTGTTGGTCTAAAGTTTCAGAAAATCAATTTTTTAAGTAAAATCAATTGTTTATTTAAAAGTTACAACAATTGCTCAAAATTGTTTAAATGCCCATATCTTTTAAACGGTACAAGATAATTGAGTTTTCTTTTTTGCTAAAAATTCATAAAGACGAGACGCTTCAAAAATTTTATTAACATTTTTTCTTATTTTGTTAATTAAAAAAGTTATTTAAATAAATAAAATTAACTTTTGAGCCGGATTTCAAAATCAAATGACTTATGAACCAAAAAATTCCTTGTTTTTCACACTTTTATATTCCGAAGATAAAAAGTTGTTTGAGTTTTTCAATCACTTATAATTTAAACAATGATTCGCTTGTTTACAATTATTTTGCAACTAAATGATCATCTGTTCTGTCCTGCGCGCGACTACTGCTACGTCACGTCCGTCTGTCGGCATATAATATATTTGACAAGCGTGGAAAAATTGAGGTTATGTTTAATCAAAACAACGCATTTCAATCTTTTTAAAGTTTTTAGCAGTCATGGAAAAAAAAGTTAAATCAGGATATTGATATCCTGATATCCTAAAACTTTAAAAAGATTGAAATGCGTTGTTTTGATTAAACATAACCTCAATTTTTCCACGTTTGTCAAATATATTATATGCCGACAGACGGACGTGACGTAGCAGTAGTCGCGCGCAGGACAGAACAGATGATCATTTAGTTGCAAAATAATTGTAAACAAGCGAATCATTGTTTAAATTATAAGTGATTGAAAAACTCAAACAACTTTTTTTCTTCGGAATATAAAAGTGTGAAAAACAAGGAATTTTTTGGTTCATAAGTCATTGAATTTTGTATTCCGGCTCAAAAGTTAATTTTATTTATTTAAATAACTTTTTTAATTAACAAAATATGAAAAAATGTTAATAACATTTTTGAAGCGTCTCGTCTTTATGAATTTTTAGTAAAAAAGAAAACTCAATTATCTTGTACCGTTTAAAAGATATGGGCATTTAAACAATTTTGAGCAATTGTTGTAACTTTTAAATAAACAATTGATTTTACTTAAAAAATTGATTTTCTGAAACTTTAGACCAACAAATGTAATACTACCAAGTTTAAAAGAAATCGGTGAGGGTGCTCCGAAAAGTAGTAAATTTCTCCTGGAATGCCACTACTACCTTTTTACAATTTGGTACTATTTGGATACTTTTTTCAGATTTGTGACCCTAAAAGCAACTTTTTTTTACAATTTGCATTATTTTAAATCCGCTAATAATTGAAATAAAGAAAGTATTCTCAAAAATTTTCATAGAATTTTTAGAAACACTCTAAAAAATTTAAATAAAATTCTTTAAAACAATTCAATTATTTCCAAAAATTTTAAAAACATTCTTTTCACAAGAATTCAGTTATTTTCGCAAATTATAAAATTCTTCGCTGAAATTCAATGATTTTCATTATCTACTATTTTCATAAAATTTCACTCAAGAATCCCATTAATTAAAAAAAAATTTTTTAATTCTTTCCAAAAACTTTAATTATTTTTATAAATAATAAAATTTGCACAAATTTCCAATTATTATTTCAAATAGAATTTTCATAAAATTTTTTGAAAATTTTATATATATTCCTCAAAGAATGCAATTATTCTTAAAAGTTTTATTCAAATTCTTTAAAAGAATGCAATTAATTATTTTTTCGAATTTTAATAATTTATTAATTATTTAAAAATTTAAAAATTATTAAAAATAAATTTTGCATAAATTTACAAAAAAAATCAATTGTCTGAAACTTTTTTATAAAATTCTTCGCAATAATTCAATTACTTTCATAAATAATAAAACACATTGCAGAATTTCAATTGTTCTTAATACAATAAATTTTAATCGAATTCCTCGAAAAATGTAATTATTCTTAAAAATTTGATTAAAATACGTCAAAAGAATTCAATTATTAAAAAATTTGTTGATAAAATTATGTGTAAGAATTCAATTTTAAGAAACATTCAATCATTCAATAAATTATCTGTTTGTATTTAAAATAATTGAATTCTCATAGGTATAATTTTCTAATAAAAATTGATTTAAAAATGAATTTCAATTTAAGTTTTAGATAATAATTTATAAATAATTAATTAATTATGAATTATACATAATTAATTATTATTTATCAGTTTTAAATGAATTACAGTTGTAATTGTTAGAAATAGTTAAATTTTAATTTGGTTATTATATTTGAATTATTTAAAATATTAACTCCTGTAGAAAAATAAATTTATTTTTTCACTTTTAAAAATTATTTTTAAATATAATTGTAGTTTTTGATGAATTCTATCTAAAAATATGTAAAATAATATTGAAGTTTACAAAAATTAATAATTCAAGTTTTTTAGTAGGATAAGAAAAGAAAAGAAATATTTGAAATGGAAATAAGGAAAAAAAAGTCAGGGAAATACTGAATCCAATTTTTTTAGTCAAATTTAATTTTTCGATAGCCACTTTTTACTACTTTTTTTAGTCTTAAGGTCATGTTATTTAGTGGTCACGTGCTCCATATACTTTACTATGGGAACACGTGACCACTGAATAACATGACCTTAAAGCTACTTTTTGATACTTTTTTTAAAAAAGTAATTATCGAGTGCGAAGTCTGCTATTATGCTAACAATTTTTATCATCATTTAGTAACATTACTTCTTTACTATTTATCTTCATTTTTATAAATTCTTTATTTTTTACCAATAAATTATTTCTGAAAAAATATTTATATTGTAATAATTAATACTTTTTTCATGTAAAAGTAATCTTATATTTTTATAATAAAGTATATATAAATTCCTCAATTTGTGGAATTTTATTTTTAATTTCTACATTTGAAACGTAGTTTAGAATTTTACATAGAAATATAATTTTTGTACAGTTGAAAGGTTTACGCTATCCATTTTATTTAGAGAAAGAGTGATGAAAAATTTGTGAAAGTTATATTAACGGAAGAATTAACTGCCTACTAATTATAACATGTATAGAAATGAAATGAAAGCTCAAATTAAGATAAATATATTTTTGCATTACCTTAAAAACATATTCTACACATTTTAAATGATTAAAAATATACTATTTGAGAATTGTCCAATTTTCTAAAAATATATTTCAGAAAAATTCATATTAGTCAAAGAAATATTCTAATGATAATTAAAATAACTTTAAATTTTTTTTAATATAAATATATGTAATACTTTTAAATTGTGATTTGCTTATAACAAATAATATATTAAAATTTTGAAATTTGTAAGTAGAAACTAATTATGTTAATTATGTTAAACTCGAATTTTGCGTTATTTCATTATAAATGCATTAAAAGGAATAATTTGCTTTTTGTCCCTTTTGTAGTAAATTTAACGATTTTTCACGTTATATTAATGTGACAATTTTTACGTTGATTAAAAACGTCTTAAAATAATTAAAATTATAGATTAAATTGCGTAGATTATAAATATGAAATTTTAATATGTAATCTAATAGTTTATATTTTTTGTAAATATATAATTTTTAAACCATTCAAAACGCTATTAATTTAGTATACGTTACCTAAAAAATAAATATTTAAGCTGTATCTTTAAATATTTTAAAAAATAGTCTAAATCAATGAAAAATGGGTTCAAAATTTTTATTTCAAAAATGAAAATTATTTTAATTTTTAAAATTAATACGATGACATAAAAAGATCATTAAATTGACTACAAAGGCGATTTTTATAACATTATATATAAATATTTATATTTTGCTCAGTTTTTTAAATGAAATACAGCATTTAAAAGTATTAGTGAAAAATATTACAAGATCAACTGGTCCGCTTTATAAATAATACATCATTTTTAATAAGAATCATTTTCAACTATATTAAAATGTTTATACTGACAAAAAAATCTAAGTAGAAGTTTGTTTAAATAGAATTACAGATTTTATGTAAGTTACAACCCACGTGAAAAGATTCTTTGGATATTCCTGGGAATATTTTATAAGAAATCTTTCCACATGGAAATTGATGTAAAATTACATATATTATTGTAGAACCTCTTTTAGTAACGCGACGACTTAACATAAAAATCTTTATCGTGTACTCAACCTAAAAGAATAGCTAATAATATGCTAAACCAATTATAGTATTATTAAAAATGGTTCATTCTTCCGTTAATTAATTCTATAAATATGCGCATAAACATATCTTTATGATCATGCAATATTTTAAATCTGCAAAAGTTAAATCATGTTTTTAAGTTTGGAAAATTTTTATAAACAACAATAGATGTTTTGAGATTCTAAACTATTTTTAATTTGATTCGAAAGTATTTAACTTTCAATATATCTTTTTCGCTATGTTTATATTATAACTATAAATATAAGATAAGTTGATGAGACTGACAAGAAGATAGTTTTTCTAAATATTTCATCTAAATTCTTGTTTTTCAGTATATATAAATAAATATTTATATATTTGTATATACTGAAATTATAAGCAAATAAGTATATTTAACAAATAAGTATGTACTCTATTGGAAAAAACACGTATGTATTTATATACTCGTGTTTTTTTTCAATAGGGTATAAATATCTACATCGAAGACAAAATATAGATTGATAGAAATTATCCTACTATTCAAACAAATTAATTGTAATTGTTTATAACAACGCAAAATCAAAGAATTTTTTATAATATTAAATTTCTTTCCTTTACGAAACAACTGATATTTAATTATTATAGTTATTTAATTATATCATTGTAGCGGCGAGTTACTTTTCTCATCTTTAATATTATATAAATAAGGTATATTTAAAAAGAACCCTGATGGATTTATAATTTATTATATACGATATATACACTATATACTATTTATATATGTATAAGATTTATGAAAAAATGCAACTGTTAAATCGTTTTAATTTTTATTATGCCTATGTCAAACAATTTTCTAAATAATGTACAAGAAAAACCTAAAAATACATGATTTTTAATTTATTTCAAATTTAGATATTATTGTAAACAAAAATCTAAACCACCTATAAATAAATAATATAATAATAATATAATAATATTAAATAATAATAATATAATAATAATAATATAATAATATAATAATAATATTAATAATATTAAATTATAATATTTAATATTATTTTATATATTATATATTTATTATATATTTTTTTTTATATTATTCTTATAATATTTAACCTATATTATAAATCTAATCACCTATAGGTGTTTCATATTCATAGACAATTTTCAATTATATTTTCTCTTTACACGTTTCATTAGAGTTCATACAAAATACACGCTTTATTTTGAAAATTAAAACCCTCCATTCTACAACTGAGTAAGAATTTCTGCAACGTGACCTAAAATACTTAAAAATTTTTATTTTTTTCCAAATATTAATTTTCA